AAACCACATAAAGTACGAGCACCTAATAATCAGTAGGTTCTAATATAGAAGGCTACATAAAGACAACAGCAACACAAAAGCAGAGTACGTACTTGGATTGATTTACATCGATGAGCGAACCAATTTTTGACGTGGTAAAGGAGATGTGCTCGTCACCAATTACTATTTCAAGCTCCTGTGAAGCAAAAGATGATATCATGTCAGATTGCTGCACAGTGGCAGTAGAAAAATTCAAGCACCGGGGTGACGACTTTTATTTATTGCAGGGTATGAATGCACCGTGCCTGTGACTCACATTAACTCTCACAGCTAAACTGCCATTTAGGGTTTGAATTAGATCTTAATTGAATTAGCTCTCCTTCCTACATGTGGTGCTGGGTTAGAAGTCCAATCACAGTTTTAATTAGTGTGCATAAGAACCGTAAGAGCCCAGAGGAAGCAGCAACAGCACACCGACCTGGCGGCCCACCCTGTCCGGCGGGGGCCACAGCGCGTCGTCCTCTTTGGTGATCTCGCTGTCGTCGATGATCCGTTTCAGCTCCTCCATCACGCTCTTGTGCACGTAGGCCTGCAAGCGGCACCTCAGTATGACGGCGCCCGGCCGGCCCGCGCCCCCCGCCGCGCCCCCTCACCTCTTTGCGGATCATCACGTCGTTCTTGTAGTTGCTGTTGTTGGCGTAGCGCAGCTTTCCTGCGGGAGGACCAGCGTTAAGGCCGCCGGGCCCGGCTACACGCGGCACCAGAACTCCCGCCCCGCCCGCCGCCCCGCTCACCGTCGGGCCTGAACTCGAACTCGAGGAACTCGTGCCCGAACTTCCCCTTGTGCCCCACGTAGTACCGCAGGTAGAAGTCGCTCGCCATGGTCCCGTCGCGCCGCACCGCACCGGCATGCACCGCGACGGCGCGCGCCGAATGCGTTATGGAGGGCGGGGCGGAACGAGCCCAGCCTGCCGCGCCCTCTCCGCGCTCCCATTGGCTGCCGCCCGCGAGGCCGAGCGGCCGCGGTGACGCTAGCGCCCCCCTCCGGCGGGGAGGACGGCTGCAGCTCCGCACCTAAAGGCGGCGCCGGGCCGCCATATTGCCCGCGTCGGGATGGGGATACCCCGACATCACCGGGCACCCCGGCGGCACGAAGAGCTGCAGGTGAGGGGCTCTGGTGCCGCCCTCACGCCTTGCCCGACCTCTCCCGTAGCGTTCTGAACCTCCAGAGCCGATGGCGTGGTGGTGATCTGCTGGGAGGAAGGAGGTGGGCAGAGCCGTGGCTCAGTCAAAATTTTACAGGAATTTACAAAGGCTATCGTGTGGAAGTTTATTTCCAGTGATTCCTTTTGAGATACGTAAAGAGTTTGGCGCAGGCTGAAGCTAACCCTGTGAATTGTCCTGTAGGTAGATCACACAGCACACATTGGTGCTACATAAGCAGTGACTTGCATCCATAGAGATTTCAAGCTCTTCAGTTAGAAATTAGATAAGTGCTTTATTTTATTAGTGTACGTCTCTGATTTTGTTGTATGGATCTGCTAAATTATTCAAGGGTTCCCCAGCTGGCAGAGAGCAAAGGTATTTCCTTAACCTTTAGCCTTCCTGTAACCTTTCCTTAAGGGAGGACCGTGTCCACAAGAGGTCTGTGTGTCTGAAATAGTCAAAGGATTTGGTCGTTTTGCCATACCCAGGTGATACAAGAAGCTACTTGTTTGTCCATCTTCAGGTTGCACGTGTTGTGTTCCAGTATATGAAATTGTTGCAGTAAATGAGCCCAAATAAAAGGTAAGTCTTTAATCCATTCTGTACCATAAGAGCAGTAGAAAGAAGATAAGATTGTTGCCTTGTAGGTGGCTATCCTATTCCACTTAATCATGAAGTGCTAAGGAACACCCCTGTCCTCATGTCCTCTCTCAACTACAGCTTTCACCTTCTGTGTTCTGCTGGACGTCAGCTTCCACTGTTTCTGAACTTTTGTCAGGCAAAAGGGAGCAGATTAAATAGATTAGTCTTTAAAGAAAGGAGAGTTGCTATCAAAACTCACTTTGATTAAAAAACTGAAAAGAAGCATCTTAGAAACCAGCAGCCCAGGCTGCCCAGAGCCACATCCAGCCTGGCCTTGAATGCCTCCAGGGATGGGGCATCCACAACCTCCCTGGGCAACCTGTTCCAGTGCCTCACCACCCTCTGTGTGAAAAACTTCTTCCTAATATCTAACCTAAACCTCCCCTGTCTCAGTTTAAAACCATTCCCCCTTGTCCTATCACTATCCACCCTCGTAAACAGTTGTTCTCCCTTCTGTTTATATGCTCCTTTCAAATACTGGAAGGCCACAATGAGGCCCCGGAGCCTTCTCTCCTCATGTGCTTCACAGACATGGAGCAGTACTGGGCAGATGTTTGGGCCTATGACTTAAGGTTAAATCCAGACTTATGTCTTCCAGAAGAAAATAAATAGGTGAGATATTAGTGCCTGATTGAATGCTGTCATTGTCTTTTTCCCTATTTTGTTCTGCATGGGAATAGGCAATAAATGAAAAATGATTTGTGCATTTTTGTGGTTTTCCTGCTTCAGAAAGATCCTTGTGTTAATTTCGTAAAGGCTTCTACGCATTTTAATTTTGTATCAAATTCTAACTGGCATTGTTTCTTTGCTGTATTTTTAAGGCAGAGTGAAATAAAATGTCCAAATGCATTCAGAATAACCTGGAAGTGGCTGGAGAAATTTGACTTTTGTGTATTGGTTCTGACTAGCCACACTGTTTTAGAAAGATAGTGCAACCAGAAATGCTATTTTGAATAATAGTCCACTTGCTCTTTGCTTGAAGATTGGCACATGGATCAGAGTTTTGATGTGGGACTAAATTAGCTATTTTTGTGTCTAAAGAGATGCGTACAACTTAATATAGTAAGGGATGTAAAAGAAGAACAGAGGAGAAAATTGTTTTAGAAAACAGCATGCTTGGATGGCAGATCTGAAGTGTAACAAGCTGCATGTTGTGTTTCTGTGTCAGGCACTGATTTCTCCCTGAAGACACCTGATTTCCTAGAGAAAGCTTATCCAGTAAAAGGTGTGAGTGCAGCGCAGGGATGCATGTGGTACAAGAAGGACAATAAATTCCAGAAACCTGAAGGTAATGAGCATGTTAACTAATGTGCAAAACAAGGCTTTCTCTGGGTTCCCATTAACACTGTACACTGTATGCTTTTTGGTTGTTTATTTTGTACATAAATTGCTTGTTATACCAAATAGCTTTTCCTAGGATGCATCTGTGGAGAGAGATGTTGGTGCAGAATTACAGTGGTAGCATTTTATAGCTAGTTGTATCCCAGCCTTAACTGCTTTTGCTCCCTAGGTCAAATATCCACTCCTGTTACAACAGCAGAGTTGTGGATTGCTGGTCTGTGTGGTCTTGGGCTCAGCTTTCAGGGTGATTGTACAGATCACTGACAGTACCTACACAAGCTCCCTTGCTGAGGTTAAGAAAGGTGTGTATGTTTTTTCCTTTATGGCTGCATAAAACTCTGTACTGTATATTGGATTTTGGAAGAAGTAAAGAGCTTAAATGCTTGCCTAAGCACTTTGTATCCTGCAGTGGAATAAAAAAGGTCAGGCAATAACTCATGTTCAGAAGGAAGACTTCAGTACAATGGAATCGGTTTATTTAATGCTAATGAAAAGGTCACGTCTTTTGTTTTTCATTCTCACATAAATTGATTTTGTAAAGCTGAAGTGGGTTTTCTACAGCTTTTTTTCTATGGCTCTTCTATTCCAGTGTTTGAGAAAAGGTCATCTTCTTAGTGGACACTTGGTATTATCTGGTCTATTCAATCTGTATTATTTCTGTTGATGCTGTTGTGGTAGTGTACTATTTTTTTTTCTTGGATCTCCCTTTTTTTTTTTCCTCTTAACTTTGCTCTTCCCAGTCAACCCAATTTCAACTGGGTGTTTGTAGTAGTTGAGAGGTGTTTGAATCTGATTAATGCTCAATTTGAGTTGTAGAAACTCGAATGTCTTAGACTAGTCTGATGTGCCAAGCTTAGGTTAACGTGTGTTTTTCATGTTTTGGTCACTGTGTGAGAGCTCAAAGGGATTCCTACTCTAGTACCTGTCCTTATGGGAGTGAATTGCAGTATGTGTCTGCAAATGATGTGTCAGTAGAAGAGTGTGACTGAGTACTGGCATTCTTATTGTTGCTTTGACCTTTAATTTCTCAGCATAAAGCTGCTTTAAGAACTGAAAGCCCTTTAGCCCTTTTTTTTTGTACTGCTTTCAGGTAGAGATCCAACTAAAAAAGATAAAAAAGAGGTCATCTCCAGAGTTAAAGGATCTGGAAGGAAGGAACCAATTTGAGGATTGAAAATCTGGTAGTAAATAAAAAAACATGGAAAATGCCAGAGCCTCACAAGTCTTCGTTCTCTCCAGACATTCATATTTTCCCTGTATACACAAAATATCTTCTTTGGAATCATGGAGATTTTGCTGGACGAAGCAAAACTTTATTACTATTATAGCATAGTAGTATTCTGTAGGACACTAGTTCCTAAGGAGGATTGCTGTTGTTTTAGAGCATTTTTATTGGTTTTGCCTTAGAGGGGTAATATTGTGGCCTATGAAGAAAGTGGAAGCAAATAAAGACATTTTGCCAGTCTTGAACAATTTGAAAACTGAATAGGTATGAAATCTGTTTTCACCATGAGTGGAATTTTTGGTTCTTAATGCAAGATATCTACAATTCCAAGTTCTCTTTAGACTTGAAAGTAGTTCAGAGTATGCAAGTTGGTGGGGGGAAAAAACACAGAACCTCAGAATAGTCTACAAGAAAAATGCTCATATACTTGAAGCTCCTCCTCTTTTTTCTTTCTTATGGAAAGAAGATTTTCTTTCTTATGTGATACGTTTCCACCTGATTTCTCCACAGGTGCAGTGATCTGCACAGAGGTAAGAATATCTCTCTGTCATCTGCCTTGCAAGCCAAGGCAGAACACTGCATCAGTGATGAAGTAGCATCAGTTAAAAGATCTAATACCTATTATAAACACATTCGTCCTTTCATATAATTTTCCTGTTGCTCCGTAGTTACGTTCCCTAGAAGACAGGGAATGGAATGTTTTCTTCAGGAAAGAATAAATTCATACTGTAGGTGTTAGTGCAGCTGCCTCTATGGTAATGATGAATGGTGAATATTGCCTAATCTTCTGCCTGTGACTTTATATTGACATCCCCTATATGCAGCATGCCTGCTAACCTTTGATTAAGATTTTCTGTTCTGTTTCTGAAGTTGATGGTGCTAAACTGGAGTATGAACTGATGGCTGGAGAGTATGGTTTGGTTGTTAGAGTGAATGGATACAATCATAAGCTACTTGGAAGTCCTAGCATCACCCTCAGCAAAGCTCAACAAATCATACCTTGAGCACTGTTTTCTACATTAGTCAAAGGCCTAGAATGCTTAGGTTTACGTTGGAATTCATTAATTCATAGTTCTGTGTGGTTAATTTTAGGGTGCTGGTAGAAAAGAAGGCAGTCATCTTGTTCTTCCTGTCTTGTCGTAACATGGTGGCTTAAGGAGCCTGTCTTTTCATCAGAAATTTACCATGCACTTCTTTGCGTGCTGAACATAGAGAATGCCAGCTCAATAATTATATGTGAGTTCAATTCTCAAACTGCCAAATATTTTTGCTTTATACTGAGTAACAGAACTAACGATCGGGTGCCAAAGCTGTCGTGAATTCAAGAATTAAAATAGTTATCCTGCATGTATTTTTTCTTAGTTACTTGCATTTCTTCTGTCAGCAGCACCTGTGTGCGTACTGTGAGGTTCAAATTTGTTCTTAGAAGATGAACAAATGTTCAGAGCAAGTGTCAGCTGTGTCAATCCCCTCCCACAGCTCACGTCCAGCTGCTTTGTTTCTTTCTAATTGCCAGTGGTCTCACTCACACATCATGCTCTTTCTTCATTGGTTCTTCTCAGTCTCTCTGGAAGGACGTGTTGTTTTTGACTGTCGTTCAGACTACTTTTGTTAGTTTCTTAAAAAATAAAGCTGAGAAGGAGAGATACTCAATGCCTGCTGCTGCTCAGGTAAGGGTAAGTAGATGAAATTAACATCGCATGAGATTGGTGTTAACCAACAAAATTTGATTTGGAAAGGATAGCTTACTTGAGTTACAGCTTCTTTACAGCTGAAAAGAGCAAGAGATGCCTGGAATCTTCTTCAGCAGATCAGTGGAAACCACCTTGCTTAATCTTTTGAGGAAAAGACAGTAGCCAGTACTGGGTGAGTATGGTCTGACATCCTTGATGCTCTTTGGATTTGATGACATAGACATTCTGATAAGCCTGATGTGTTGATTTTTCTTAAAGGAGAAAATATTAACCAAAATGGGGCTGCAGCTTTCTGATCTGCAGAAGCAGCCAGAGGTGCTCCATTTCACTACTACTTGTTGTGAAGGCAGAGCATGCTCTAGAAAGGAGATGTGAAATGAAAGCTAAGGGTATTTTCTAGACTATGTATCACTAATAGCTGTCAGTGCTTTTGTAAAATGAATTTGTATATTGTTGTCTCTGCTAGGATTTTGCTTTGAACAGACTAACTGACATTCAAAAGTTTCTAAGCCTGTAGATTAAAAGGCTCTGCTTCAGGATTTAGGGTTAAACTGAGCCTTGTGTGGGCTGCTGTGTGGGTAGCAGTGTGTCTCTCAGGAGAGAGGGAGATAACTGTGTCAAGTAATTGCATAAACTGTTATCAAGTTTACTGGAAGTTCCACTGTGTATTTAAAAAACCTGACTCCTGCAAAATGACAATGCCATGCTGTCATCTCTAAAACTCAGCATATTGGAAGATGAATTGTGGTTGTTCTCTCTTGTATTATTTTTGCTCAGTGCAGCTTCTCAGCAGCGTGTCATCGTTTCTGAATTGTTGGCTTTTTGTTTTCCAATATTCCTGCACTGAAATAAATTTTTTATTGCAATGAGGCTGGGGCATTGTAATGAAGGAGTTCAGAAGGCAGGCAGTTTCGAGCTGTTCTCAATAGAATCTTTTCTCAGTCTGCAGCTGCAATCTGGATCAGGCTTGCCCAGTCATACTGAAGGCTGCTGAAGAACAGAGCGTTGCCCTGTCCCCATTAGGCATCACCTGTGTGTGTTTTAGGCTCTGTAGAGCCAAGTCTATAACTGCACTTACTGCCACCTGTGCTGCTGTTCTCAGGAACTCATAGCAGCTAAGCTTTCAAATGAAACACCAGCAAATAAGCAGGGAAGTGTTTATAGAATGCTGTAGGGCAGTTGGAGGCCTGTTCCGGTGCTGCAGGAAAATCCTAGATGACTTTATTCCCTATCTGTGAGTACAGAGATAATCATTTAGATATTGGAGGGGAATTTCACTTAATATTTTTAGAGCTACGTGGTGCCATTTAGAAAATGGAATTTGACAAAGTGTGTGATGTGTGCCTTTCAACTTGTAGTTATTCAGGCATCGAAGTCTTTTCCTGCATTTCATACACACCTCCTGTTGTCTCCCACTGATGGTAGGATCAAGTTAAAACCCTTTGGTCTTTAGAAGCCACCAGTTGATAAATTTACCCAATGAGAAGTTACTGCGAAGTTTAAAAACATTCACTTTTCATAGAATTTAGCTGATTTCTGCTCATGGCCTTTTGATTTGTTGCAGCTTTTTCTGCTAAATGGAAGAATGTTCTAGTATAAGAATCCTCTAATGTAGCAAAGCATCTGCCAGCTTTTCCCTGAAGCCAGTGCTCAGTTCACAGTTCAGCTTGTGAGAGGAGGGAGAGAGCTTTCTGTGTATTTATTTTTTTATACTGTAGCATTTTTCCTAGGTCTCTGCTAAAACTTCCTCAATTTTTTTAGTGCCCTCTCTGAATTATCCACTCAACACAGTATTTCTGTGATGATCTTTGCAGAGATGGAATTTCTTAATCCTGGGCATGAACTCAGTGAAGTTCAAGATCCCTTGGTTTATCAACCCCTTTGTTTCATTTTGGTAATTGCAGATTGCTTTGATTTCTCTTGGGGCTGCTCTCAGTTATGTCTGAGTAAAGTCAACTAGAATTTTGAAAAGGATTTCTGAATTAAAATGGATTTTTTTTTTTTAAATAGAGATCTACATCATGTAATTTTGGAGCATGGTCTGTGATAGATAAATATCAGAGATTAATGGAGGGAATTTCTGCAGTCTTTACTGTCTTTTGTTCAGGCTTTCAAGTCACAGCTGTTTGTGGAGGGCTTAGCAGACAGAAATCTAATGTGGCAGGCAAGCATTAAGCTTAACAATTTGGGTGGGCTCTTTGTTTGCCTTTAGAAAAATAGCTGTTCAAATATTTTGAACACAATTACAGAAAATGTTATTGCTAAGCACTTTGCCAGCCCTGTGTCCCAGTGGTGTTTTGGCAGATTGAGATGGCAGAAAAGTGCCAGTGTATCTAGGATGCTTACAAGAGGGGTTCCTCCTCTCCCTTTTTTTCTGTCTGGTCCTCTGCTTAAACTGAGCTAAACTACCTGCATCTTCCATGGCTTCTTTTCTTTCTCCCACGTTGTGATTGAATGAGGCTACAGATGCCCAAGCTATAAATTATATTGGAGAATTGTTTCTTGATTTTTTTTCTTTCTTCTTCCCCACCCTCACAAAGTAGAATAGGGCAGAACTTCTTGTCACCTCCCATAGCCTTGAGAATTGGCAGGTTTCTGGCAAGGGCACTGGAATATTGCAGTTGAACCCTTCCTGAATTTTATGGTGTACATAGGGATGAATAATTCTCTTTGCTGAAGCTAAGCTGACTTCATTTTTTTCTTAGGAAGCAAAGCGTGTGCATTATGTTCTTGTGTGAGTGTCCTGCACAGTTCCCCTTCAGTTACATTCTTCTGGAGAAGTGGATTGGAGTTGATTGATGAGTTTGCTCAAGAAAGCTTCTGGTTCTTCTGTTAATTTAAATGGCAATGAGTTTTAAAGGGAGGGGGACCACAGCAGCACTTGGTTGTGAAGTCTGCTTTGTTGTTTCTTGGCTGAGATGTGAGGGGGTGTTTGACCCTTGGCTGTGTAGTAGCAGGGAGACCTGAGCTGTTTGTATGGTCTGTGGTAGTTTATGCAGCTGCAGTTCAGAGGAATCAATGCAGAATTGGCCTGCAAGGCTGCTGTGCAGAGAGGGAGAACTGGATGGATGGTAACACAGTTGCTGTGCACAACACCTACTGAGTCCGTGATGCAACTGCAGGCTGTGTTATTTTGTGATTATTTCCAATATGGATATTTTGCTTTCTCATATCCCATCCACTTCAGTTGTGATATTGTCACATTCCTTACCCTTTTTCCCCCCCCTCTGTTAATTCAGGGTAGTCTTTCTGTGCAGTGGATACCAAAAATATGCCTGCTTTCTACATTGAAGACACAATAGAAAACCAGAAATCATTGGCTTGTTGTTTTGTGTGTGACTTACTGAGTAGTTAATGCTGGAGTTGATGCAGGGGGGGTTTATTGGTCTTTTTTTAGGCTTGTGGGAGGAGTTCAAGAGCATGTATTCTCACAGAGTTGCTTGTGGTAAGTTGTGACCTTTTGTAGCAGATCTGGAATTGTTTGATCCATGATCTGTGGCTGGATCATCCCTGGCTACAGGGCCTGAAGTAGTTTGGGCATGGTGAAACCTCTGCTATTGTGAACAGGAGTGCATCTTGAATAGCTTTGAGCTGTATTTCAGATGCACGTGGAGGAGCCTTGTTTCAGTTCCCTGTGAACTAAAGAAACACTTGAACGTTCTCTGTTGGAATGTGTAACTCCCACTGACTGGTTTGTTGTTGTTTGTTTCCTGATCCTAGTCCCTTTTACCTCATTGATACCAGAAATGGTCTTTTGCCACCCCCTGTAACGGTGTGGCTGAAAGTACATGGTGATGCAGTGTCATCAAGGGCAGCATGATCACTGGGTGCTTCTGTCAGTGTCTCAGGGATTTATCCAGGGGTGCAGGTGGGGCCATGTCCTGTCTTTGCACTGGGATGCATTCATGTCTCTGTGTATCTATTATTTAGAGTCTAGTGTTCGTGGTTTGAAGACTTTTCTTCTAATGTGTTCGTGCCTTTATATATTAAAACTATATAAGGACTGCTTCTGTAAACTGATAGCACAACTGAAGGGGAAAAAAACCCAATGTTCTGCATTTAGTGGTTGTTCAGCTAAAAGTGGTGATTCTGAAAGTCATCGGTGCTGATTTGTAGCTGTGTCCTGGGCTGGCAGTGATAGGTAAGGAGAGGGACAACCTTACTGGTCCCTGTCCCTGCCCTGTGTTTTTCTCTCCTTGTCTGCAAAGACAAAGTAGGCATTCACAACAACAGTCTGTCAGTGGTTTTTATTGAATAGTTCTTAAATGACCAAAAGAAGGAAAAAAAATGTATTTTAGACCTCATTTATAAATGTCACTTCTTACCATGCTGGTTTGGAGTGCACATCTGCTTAACCTCAACGTGGCAAAAACATTTGAGATGTAACCTTTCCTGCAAAAAGACCAACACTCATTTATGAGAGATCCAAACCGTGCATTTTGTTTTTTCTTCTTTTGGATTCAGCAGTGATATTTGTGAACTGCAAGTGCCTAAAACAGTTTCAGTAAGATTAATGACAGCCAAACTTGGGCCATATGTGTTCTTGCACCAAATTTGCAGGAATTCTTAGCATGTAATTATCTGGGCCTGTTATAAAATGTTTAATGAAGATGTGAGTTCATTTTTCATGCTGCAAAGATTAAAGCATAGAGGAAGGACAGTGTGTAATTGCCTGGTGCTGTTGTGAGTGGAACCAGCTTGCTCTGATGTCCATGCACTGCTTTGTTCATTTGGACAATGTTTGTTAAGCTTCAGCGATTGCATTTTCTAAATAAATTTCTATGCAGTCTGTAGAAAATAAGATAATTTAAACAGGAAGGAAAGCAAATACAAGAAATTACTCACCTGGTTGTGTTGTACTGAAGCAGTCTGTTCTGTCTACTCTATCTAATTTCTGACAGTAGCTTGTAATGGATGCTGAGGAAGAGATGAGGATGCAGTGTATGTGGCTACCCCTGTGTGTGCCCAGCTTTCAGCTTCCTGAGTTTGCTGCCTCAGGGTCCAGAAGGTGCAGCTGAAATGCTGTAATGAGCCACAGGCAGCCCAGTACTCACAGGACAATGCTGCAGAGGGTGCCACAGTGTAGTTATGCATTCCATGAGTATTTTTTCATGTATTTTGAACCTGCTATCTGATTAAATGTCCCTGCATGCTTTCGAGTTCTGGTACTGTGAGAAATGGGGAGTAATTAATGGTGCAAATAAAGCACCAGGGAATAAAGATTTTAGATATAGGTGTTATATAGCTTATCTTTTCAATTTTGTTTCCCTTTGCCACTGAGTTGAAGCTTTGAAAAGATGCACAAACTTGTTTGATTACCCTGGTTGACCTTCTCAGTACCTTTTTTAGTTGCGTTTGGCCTTAAGATGGGAAGGTCAAGGTTATGTTGGAAACTTAAAAATCCATGTTTATCGTGAGTCTTCTGTAAAGCACCAGATTCTCTTATCCTCATCTGCTCTCTTGCAGAGCTGACGTGTTTGAAAAAGTTACTGTCACATGCCTTTAGCTGATAATTGAGTGTATATTTCCAATCACTTCTGTCAGACTTTCATTATTAGTGGCTTAGATTTAGCTTAAGAGAATTCCTGTCATCAAACCTTGTACATAAGCTTTAATTGGCAAGTACTGTGTATCTTCTGAGCATTACTGCAGAGTGTTCTCTTTGCTTAGACCTTACACGTTTGTGCTTAATAGCAATTAGTTCAGGGGCTTTTCTTGAACATTTGGCCATAAGGTTTTCCATTCCCCTTACTGTGTAATGGCTTAAAATAAATGAATGTATGTGCTTTCAGCTGTGTTCCAGAGGGGGAATAAATACATGAAAATAAATTACTAGTTAATTCCTTGTCCGGCAGATTCGTAAGATAAAAATCCTGAATGTGATTTACTCAGTGAGTTGGTAGGGAAGTTCCCTGTTGGAGACCTGTGTTCTGTGGTGAGGCTCCATCCTTGTGTGAAGAACATTTTAAAGACCATCTTTATGTGCTGTGGAATGCAGAGTTTCCATTGTAGGAGCTTTTTGCTATATTTATGGTGGGTGAGTGTCTTTAGGAGTGGGAAATCCCTTTACCTCACAAGGCAGAATTTGTATTGCACTTTAACCAGCTTCAGGTTGCTTGTTATGTATGCCCTCCACCCTGTAACAGCCTTATATTTCTTTTTACAAGTCTTGCTGCTGAGAAGACTGTATTTTTTTTTCTGTTATCAGGTCCTGATGTGCTAGCTGAGAAATCCCAGGAAATGATCAGTTGCCAGATGTTGCAGTAACACAGCTTCAAAGTTGAAACCTCTGCTGTTGTCGTCATAATCCACAAGTGTCAAACTTTGACTGCATGAAGCTGGCACTGCAGGACTTGTGGATACCTTTGTTAACCTGTGTGCTGTTCCCAGGGCATCCAAAGCAACTGCAGCTGCCTCTGAAGTGCTCCTGTTGTAGCTGTTTGGGCACCAGCACCAGCAAAGTAAGTGAGTGTGTTTTGTTAATAACTGCTTTGAGTTGGCCACTGTGTTAATGTGCAAATGGACTGTGGTGTCCCTCTGAATGGTGAGTTGGAGCGTTGGGCAGGGAGGGACCTTAAAACACATTCTGGTTCCAACCTGGCCTGGGCTGGCTGCCACCCAATAGATTGGACATGGAGCACTCTGTTTTTTCTGGTAATTACTTCTATTTGCTGCTGTATTACTCTCCTAACATATTTAATTGAAATATTTTAATTGAAAAGATACACACTACTTCTGAAGGCTTTAACAGTGCGTAGAATGACTTAGGATGGAGGGGACTTTCCAAGTCTCAGCCCTCTGCTGAACAAAACAGTCTGCTTACTTAAAGCTGGCCCTAACCTGTCTTAGTTATTCCTGTTATGATGCTGTAGCTGCTACAGATGGTGAAATTCCAAAGAGGACAGCTGAAGTATGCCAACAGGGCCCTAAGCCCCTCTTCCAGTTTTAACAATTAAGAGCTAAGGAAAAGGCAGACCAAAATGCAGTACAGTACCAGTTCTAAGAGACAGCATTTTCAGTGCTAAAATGTAATTAGCTCAGTAGGCGCAGATAAAAAAAATTTAATCTTTCTATAGAAACAGTGCACTGTTTTACAAACGTATTCATTTGGTTTTCAGTAATCCTTGTTCATGTAAGTACAGCACGTGTTACACAGCAGATCCCTCCCCACCCCTCCCTGGTCCTTTTGTCCATACCAAAAACTGAAACACAAAAGGCACCAAGCAAGAACTTACTTTAACAGAACTCCAACATGACAAGACGGATCAGAAGTGTTCACAATGTTAAATATCATCCTAACAACCTGAACTGTTATTTAAAATAATTTCTTAAAAAAAAAAAAAAATTGGTGTTTAGTTGAAATCAACACTGCACATTGAGTTCATTTACAAAAAATGCAGCCTTTTTTACACGGTTTATACAGGTTTGTGTGCACGTCCTCTTAGAAAAGTATCAAAACTGTAGAACTTCCAAATCTATTTACATGTCTGTTAGTTACAGTGTTGTCACGTACAGCCTTCTCTCAGTTTTTCTTCATGCACACAGTGCATGAATTTGCAGACACAGCTTCATACATTGGAACAGTAACTGGGTATCTCAGTCACTTCTGTACTGCCTTAAAATCTCGAATTTGAACAGAAGGGTGCTTGATTCTTTAGATGTTGTCTACAAAGGCTGTGAAGTGAGTAGTTTGAGTGAAAGTAGGGGAGTGCTACCCTAGGTCTTTAGACACCTTGTTCCTTTCTTAGTCAAGAATTCAAGTCCAACTCACCTTAACTCATCTACTTCCTGGGAGTCTCACAGCATGAGCTAAGAAAAGCAGAGGGTCTTCTGAACAACCCTGCCAAACAACACTGCTACCCTCAGCTCACACCAGCAATCTGTACCACAATGAGAGAGAGGGGGAGGAGGACCTGGACAGTCCTCTCTGCTGCATGGAACAGGTGAAAAACACCAGCTGGAAGAAGGCCTTGCTTTTGGCCTAACTGCCTGTTTGTGCCCTTTGAGGTGAAGAATCAGCACCTGCTGTGGTTTGATAGGAAACTTGGTGAACCTGAGTGCAGAGCCTTACATTAATGTTTTCCATTTCAGTGCACAGACCTTAAATAAGCTACAGGAACTGAAGGGGTGAGGGAAGTAGCTGTGTAGAAAAGGGAGGCTAGTTTAGCAAGAAAAGAGGCTGGTCTTGATTTCTCCTTCCTAAAGCAGTATCTTGGAATCCCAGGCCATCACAAAGGTGATGTTCTTCTGCAGGAGGAGCCTGTTTAAATATATTTATATATCTTTCTGCCATCAAAGGAGTAAATGTAAGAATGCCTGGACTCCTTATTGCCTATTTCTGCAGCAGGATTATGTCAACTATTTTAATCTTGGTTCTTTGTAACTCTTAGGAGACATGGTGCATATTTAGACTCTTCACTGTCTTATGGGGTGATGGTAACAGTGCTATTGAGGTCTGCAGGAGAGAGAGAAACAAAGTTTGGGAACCATAGAGAATGAAAGGCAGTTACTAACTGCCTTTATGAAAGCCTAAATGCTTTCAACCTCTTTTTCCTGTGATGTTTTGTTTTTTTTTTTTCAGATACCACTGAATTCCAGGAATCAGCTATTGGTAGAGCTGTGAGTTTTGAACCTTGTCTCACACTCTGTTATGTCAGATCTTCCACAGTGCAGGCATTCGCTTTGATGACAGCTGCTGCACTTCAATGAATTCCACTTATGCTGAACTAAGACACTGCCCCCCAGTACCTCCTAAATTGAGACTCTCAATGAAGAAAAGAGTGGGGAAAGGATCCAGAAGGTAAGGGATTACCTTCTGTTATTGTGGGACTATTTCCTGATGAGCCTTCCTGAGTGCTCACTTTGGGTATCTGAGAGAATGTGTCTCAACCTTTCTTTCTGCTAATTCTAAATGCACGTGAGAGGAGCAGGATGCCTAATGGAGGGCAAAAGATTTAGGTTTATTGTTAGAAACAAATGAAAAAAATCAGATTTGTACCAACCTGTAAAAAGCGACAGTACAGAATGAAAAATGTGGTCACTGTAGGAGCTCCCCCTGCCTGAAATGCTGTTAGCAACTGTTCTACAGCTCAAAGCAGTGCAGCTGAAGCTGGCTAAACTGGAAAAGGTGAAAGCAACCCTTGCAGGCCACTTTGGGAAACAGAAGCCCTGTTTGTTATGGCTGTCATTTATTGGCTGTCTTACAGTACAGCTGTTTCTTACTTTGCGTCTTTAGATTTGAAAGTGAACTTCAGACACCTGGTAAAAATTCAATTATCCCTAATTTTCATAAACATAGCCCAGTAGTTTTAAAATATATGTATATATTTATATATATGTATATATTTATATGCCTATATATCTATCTAGACTAGATAGATATATACACAGATAATCTATGCACAGCAAGCCAAACATACAAAAAATAAATACTCTCACCCCTCTACTATATTTACAGATCAGATCTTATAATCCAGATTTTGTTAATAAATATTTCTAAACGGTCTGTACAGGACTTATTTTACTTATGTTGATGGATAGCCACAAAGCATATTCAGTATATTTACAAAATATCTATAAATATAGTCTTAAAATAAAGCAGTAGCTACTGAACCGTCAGCCTGCTGGTTATGTACATTGAGTTAGTAGCTCAGCAGTTGCTTATTGACTATCACAAATGGGTAGTGCAACAAGTTAAAATGTGTATAAAAGATTATACATACAAAACTCTCACATCCTTTGGATGTTTGCAGTTCATTATAACTCTGTGGTTACCCTTCTGCAACATAAATAATGATTCAAATAAAGAAGCAGGTTTTGTGATCCAAAGAAAACTTGTTCGGTGCGTTCTGGTTGAAGCAGCAACTTTGTCCTTACGGCAACCCATCGTCTTCTAAGCTCAGTGCTACACGCTGTGAAGGAAGAAAAGCAAACTTGAGGAGAAAATCTGTGACTTGTGATTCTGATACACAAGCAACACTATCAGAATTTGGTTTCAAGTTGTATTTCCTGTTAAAAATCTCTTTGCTGCCTTCATGTAATGGTGACAAATACTATTTCATGTACTGATTTTTCCCCTAAATGAGGTCTCTCCCTGAAGTTTTTCTACAGAGGCATTGGACAGTTCACTTTACTTGTACATTACATGGATAGAGTTCCTTGTAAGGACTGACGCACTTCTAGGTGACTTCCAGGTAATACAGGGCATTAGTTAAGTTCCTACCTTCCTATAGAAACTATCACCTTCACTCACTCAAGATCTTTCTCTCTTCTGAAAATACAAAGCAGTTATTACTGCCAGTGCTTCATCTCGTGAGGGCTGCTTCTTGGAAGGAAGCTCCAATGCAGACCAGCTGTTGTGCAGCTGCCACGCACAACAATTTCTCTGCATACAAAGGATTTACTAACAAAGTGAGTATTTCGTTTTTGTAAAGATTAATGTTGCCAAGACAAATTTCCTTAACTTCTTACACTTCCCCTTGTGAGAAATCTGACTTTTGCACTGTTCTATTATATGGAAAATACAATTTCTCCCTGGTTTGCACGGAAACGGAAGTTATCCTTAAAATAGTTCAGGCACTTGGTAGGAGTCTGAGCAACGTGGAACCTTTCAGAAGATAAGTCATCAGTTGTCACATATTGAGCTCTTGAGATGGAAAGACAGCAAGTATAAAGCAGACTGTCTGTACTGATTAGAACAGATGCTCTTCATTTAAACAGCATCTTATTATACACACCACTCTATTTTAAATTTAAAAGTTTAGTCTTCTGCCTATTCAGAGATTACTGAGTTATACAATGACAAAAAACAGAACTAATAACATCAAGTCTCCAACAATGTGAGAGAGAATTCTCTAAGCCAAATTCTCAGCAAAATGCATCTGTGTCAGCAGGTTCCTCAGATACTTACTGCTGGATAGACATGTCCAATTTGGGCAGTCCGACCAATATGGATTTCATCTTCATCTTCCTCTTCTGTTGTCTTCCTATATACTGGATTATCAAAATTCATGCTTTTAGTGTTCTTCCGTTTCCAGTTTCTCCAGATGAGGTATCCCCCCATGCACAGCAAGCCAATAACCACTGATGAAAGGAGGCAAAAACTGCTGTTAGCCAGTTTTGTGGAGAAAGGAGGAATCTGCTGAGATGTTCCTAGGCAAGTCTATATCCTTCACTACTGTCTCAAATCCAGACTCATTTCAGCAGTTCCTCTACTCTCTCCCACCCCCCAATCTTGAGAGTCACAAAAGTTTATTTACACTAATATTTCAGAATGATCTCCTTCAATATTTAAATCAAATCAGCTTACCAACAGGAATGACAATTCCAATAACAGCTGCTGTCACAGTTGAATCAAAGCCTTGGCCATTATTCGAATCTGTAATTACAGAAATATTTCACTCGTTCACAGGTTTTAAAGCCACAGCTAAAGAATGCTTTATGGCAGTAAGCTGTTGTTCTGCCCATCATGAAGTATTTGTTACCAAAGAGTTCATAAGAAGTTTTGGAATTAAATTATCAGGGAGAAGAATAGAAAGAGACACACGTACACAGAAGGCTGGGCTGGGTTGAGCTGAACTGTTTCTTAGGAATGCAGTACCTGCTCTGTGTGCACATGCATGTGTGCATCTACACGTACCATGTACAGCTATGGAGCTGGTCAGCACATACATCAGTGGTTGCTGCAGCCTGCTACAGCATGCAAGAGTAACCTCAAAATGTTTGCTCTGAGCTCTAATAATAGGGGATCAGCACAGAAAATAGTTGTGTTAAAGTAGCTGGAATATAGAAGAAGGAAACTAACTGTAGTTTGTCTTCAGATTCGTCAATTCATGAAACTTAAAAGGCAATTTATCCTTTTAAACAATTCCCCTTGGCAGATAGTCATGTAATGGAACAGTATACCTAATAATAGGTCAGACTATTCACACATAGATACTTAAAAGAACTTAGCATCTATGGCTTAAGTTAATTATTACATTTGAAAGGAAATTTGCACAAGCAGGACTTACAAGAGCAAATTTTATAAATCAGATTCTATTTTCCCCCATGCACTACAAAGCGAGTTCACTGATTGCTTCAAAGAGGCATCTTAGTCAAAGCAGGATGGCTTATTTTTGCTTTCCAAGTGCAATGAAAACAACCTGTTCCAGTTATTGAAATGTTTTTTTTAAGTAAAGTATTTTAATCTATTAGTCTGTTAAAGCAATCTGGATCTGTTTGAGGTCTTCAACGACAGTTCTGAAGAATAAATTCTTCATCATTCATATTTAGGTCAGCAGCACTACAAACAACACTGAAGCCAAGGTGGACTAGTAGTGAGCACAGGGCAAGTATACATATTGCAGGGCCTTATCTCTAGAGTCAGCTTTACATGCATGGGTTGAAAGCCTGATATGAGTGCCCTAAGATCCTGAGCAACTGGAACCACGTGATCAGAACAGAGGCATCGGCATACAGAATACCTGATTTCTCCTGCTATGCAAGAAGATGTGCCTTCATATGACCTTCTATAGCTCAGCTGTTAGGTACAGTCTGCTACTTGTTCATGAGATTTCGTGGCAATGTATAAATTGAAAAAGAAAAGAAGAATCTCATACACTTACAGTGCTGTGACAAGTTGCTGTTTCCAGTGGTCATCTCAGAATCGATGAGGATGGATGTGGTTGAATGAGAACTCGGGGTGGCAGTCGTGGCTTCTGATACAGCTCTGGGGACGACGGCGGTGGTGGTGTTGGCTCTGCCAGTTACAGTGGAGGCAGTGACAGGATGAGATGCTGTGGTTGTAGGAACCACTGTGGTAGCTGGAGTAGTTGGAAGATCTGAAAAGCAAAAGCAATGATGAAACAAAACAGCAAATCACAAACAGGGTGGATTGTGTTGTTTGCTGGTTAGAAACAGAAATCAAATTCCAGTTCTACTTGCCGAGCACAGAACTGATAGATCTCAGCTGCAGAATTTTTTTTTTCTGAAATCAAACTTTAATTAATTAATAGTAGTGAAGTACTCTGTCTGGAAGATGGTTAATAAATTAAAGTACTCATTTTTTGAGAAGATACTGAATTTGTACCAGGAACTGTCTGCACGTTAGGGAAAATTATATTGCAACCACCAGTCTCTTCAGCAATGATTGTGGCCTTTCCCATCCAGTATCTACAGAGCAGAAACATGGCAAATGTATATCACTTATTGACCATCCACATTTTCAGTCCTAGGGATCATCCCTTCTTTTCCTCATTTTTTCCTGATGATGCTTTCAAAAAATAATACAGGTTTTCAATAAGGAATAGTGCAGTGCTGTGTTCAGAAGACAGAATATATGTGGAATTCCAAAGCTAATGTATGTGTTCCACCATTAAGTACAGTTTTATTGGGACAGCACAACAGTGATATGATTGTATTTACCTTTGTAGCATTTTTTCATGTCAGGACCCAGCCACATGTTGTCAGGACAGGCACACGTGTACTTGGGGGAATGGGGAGAGATGTGAGGTGCAGGAAGACACAAATACTCACAGCCTCCATTTGGCTGGGGGCTGAGCTCACAGGAGTCTGGAGCTATTCAAAGACAGAAGAAAAGTTATTTATTTTTTTTCCCTCAGCAAAGAACCATTAAGCCTCTTAAGAAGACTCGTTTCAACTCTCTACCTTGATCAATTGCCCTCCTTAATCATCTTTACAGTTTGGAGTAAAACCTTACGTACTGCTATAAAAACTGAGGAGAGATTGGCAAATAAAAAATTAACAGCCTCACACAGCTCCAGCTGCTTTTGTCATAATGTACTCATTCACAAGCCAGTGGTTCAGATTCTGCACAATACAGATGATATCTGAATGGCTTGTTGATTGCCACTAATAATTATTTAGAACATTCACAGACTGATGCTGCTGAGTGAGGAGAGCATCTGTACATGCTCACAGTAACAGCAGATGGACACAAGCCATGCACTCCTCACTGAACTTTCTCAGGGTGAGCTTCAGTTATCCTGGGTCAGAAGCTGGCTTCCTGGTGTCATGAAGCAGTTTTTTATGTTATTTGCTCAGCAGCCTGGTGCTGAGTGCCATTCTCCATATGCTTACCTTGCTGTGACACTTCCAGGCTGCAGTATGGCCTAAATATGTAATGAATGGAAAGTGATCACAGTAATGAGAGTAATTCTGCTATCAAAGACACTAATGAAACAGCAATTAACAAGTGGCAGATTTTTCAGTAGGTGCTGCTGTTGAATTAATTATGCAGGAACTTCAAACATCAGGCATTGATTTCACATTATTACCTGTGCTTTTTCTCTCATCAGAAACCATCAGGAAGCAGTTCATTTAGTAGCTCAAATAAATCTGATTTAAGGACACGAGAGACACGTCTTACCTTTGGGCTGCTTTAATTCATGAAATACAACGATGTCGTGAGGATTATTGAGATTTTCTGCTAAAACAGAGATGTCCAAGCCACTCAGCCTGTTGGCACTGAAGATTGCTTCATTCTCCAGGTCAGTCCAGAACACTCTGTCCTGCAGGAAATACATAGGATTTCTGACCTGACCACTCTGCCCAGTTCCAACTCAAGCTGGACTAAACTCTAGTAGTCACAAAAATCAATGCGCTGTTTTCCCGTGCTGGGATAACTTTGGTTTTATGGTACTTCCACGTGCAGCTCTTTTCTTTTGCATGTCTAAAAAGTGCAGTAGTGCAATAGTGTTTAGGAGTGCTCAATAATTTGGAGTCGCTGTGAGATTGAGGGAGCAGGAATTTGGTTATATCCAAATTCTGGACCTTTTGGGATGTTCCTGCACCTTTTTGGTTTTTTAAAAACAGGAGTAAGATGAGTACTACAAGAATCTACAATCATACAAGAATGCAACTGGGTTTTTAAGTTTAATTAGGGGCCAGAAGCCTTCTTTGTGAAGATAGGCATATGTTTTTGTAGGATCAGACTTGCAGTTTTTTGTACGGAGACATTGCTCTGATGTCTGGCAGGATTTGTGTGTCATAACAGCAGCAGCTGAAGCTGAAAGTGAACTATCTGCCATCCTGAACTAGGTGAACAAATGAATACCTTTTGAATGCAAATCCCCAACTCAGCAACGCACTGGTGCTCAGTGACTGCAGGGGGAGCCCTGTGAGCGCCTGGCACACATACTGCCCACTGCAGCCTTCAGACTCCTGCCACAGGTGAAAACGTTTGAGGACACTTCTGCAGATACTGGAATAGCCAGAGGACAGCGCAAGCAATCGACCCCCAGACTTATGGGGCCATCCTTCCCTGAGGATTCTGTTAGGGCTGGAAAGTGCAACACAAGCATGCACATGAAACAAAAATGCTGGGAACAGCAGGGTGCTCGGCAGGGGGCTGGGCTGCTGCCGCGATCCATGCAGCTCCCCTCAAAGTCTGACTCAGCAGCAGCAGACTCAGGACATGCTGCAGTGTCACTGGGTGAACGGCTGCCCACTGCTAATCACAGCAAGTGGTTTCTCCTGTCTCTTGCTAACAGTTTCAGCCTCTGCACAGGCGTTTGGCTCAGTCCACCTCAAGGGAAAGCCATGACTATTGTGCAGTCATGTGGGAGCCATAACCGAGCACTGCCTGCCCCTCAGGGATTCACTTGTACTACGTAAGGTAAAAGCGTGAGGCGATGCATCACTCCTGATTAAGGGCTTTAGAAAACTATTTTCCCTGCTGAACCCACACCAGGTTAATCAGTTACTATAGCAGCAAACGCCCTCACTCAGCTTTCTGTGCTATGCAAAAGGCAGAGCTTTCAATCAAGAAGAGCTTTGAGACCTCTTGCAGTCTCCAGTCTTTTCTCACCCGATATTGACTCTTACCTCAAACACTGCCAAGCCAAAAGGATGGCTCAGATCATCAACAGAAGAAATCAGAACTTTTCTGTTGCTGCCATTGAAATCAATGCAGGAGAGTGAATGCAATTTGGAGTCCACCCAGTAGAGACGCTGATTCAGCAAATCTGAGAAGTAAAACACAATGAAGCAAAATCACACACAGCTCCTGCAATTCTTTTGCACTTCCCAGCATTTTTTTCTGCTGGCAGCATGACTAATCTCTTTATTATTAGGCTTTTAAAAGTTTTTTTTAACACTAGTTGTGATTTTGACTCAGTGCCCAGATATGCTGGGATAAGACCTTCTAAGTAAGATTAAAAAAGAGAAACATTCTGGTGTGTGTGTGTGTGTGTGTGTGTGAATGCTGGACTGACAGCGTTGTTTGGTACCAGAAGGAGCAGGGCAGCTGCACTTTAGGCTTCCCAGAGGTGCTCCTCCAGGGCCACTCAGTCCTATTTAGTTGTTGGCCTCTTGCTGGAAAATAACAACTGGGATTCAAAACTGACATCTTTCTGAAGGAGCTGCGTGATTAACACATGTTCTGTGATGAAGAATGCTGGGTTCCAAAAGTCCTTCTGCTGCAGGCTGAGGGAATGGCAGTGGTGGAAACTTCCTTCCCCAGACCAGAAACATTTTGGGGAGGATGCAGGTAAAAGCGGGAGGGAAGGGGCCAGTGTTATTTAGAATGCTGTGAACTGAATGTCTCTTCCTGGAGCAGATCCGCTTATTTTGGATGAGGTTCACTAAACTGAATGCCAGTGGATGAGTGCCAACAAAGAACAAATTCTGCAATAAAACAAGCCATTAATTAATTTCTTAATTACTAAAGGATAACATTATTTGTTCACAGCAGTAGCACTTCAACAATATGCAACGGTCGTAACATTTTCTCCTACATCCCTTTATGGACAGAATTTTCAAACATAACACCAAGTGGAGAACCTCACACCTGCGTGGTGCTAAACATGGATGTCTTTAACTCTGGCTGCATTTGCCTACTTTACAAGACATTTACATTAGCCACAGTGGATCCTGTAGCTGTGACCCGGCTGCTTACCAAGCGTGATGCCATTTGGCCACTCAATGTTGTCAGACACCAGCACTTGCCGCCCCACACCATTGAGGCCTGCTTTCTCAATCTTCGCTTTGTCTCCCCAGTCAGACCAGTACATGAACCTAAAAGAGATGGATGCAAGGAGACAGTAAATTGGACCCCAGGGTATGAAATTTGAACTACTGATTGGGGAGAGAGTTACAGTGCTCTCTGCTTGATGTTGCAAAGGCCCCTGGTCACTTCAGTTTACCTTGATACGCATTTAGTGGAGCTGCCCTGCTCCTGTCCCACAGGTTACTCTGCCACAGAACTTACACCAGAATATCAAACCCCAAACTATCTCTTGGTGTCTGTGGTAGATGTGTAGACTTCGCTTATCCCACACTCCTGTCATACTTATGTGATTTCCCAACATAACCTGAGTGCCTGAGCTCAGGCCCTCCTGGCTCACAACCCAGCATAATTTTCAAAACTTTCTCTTACAGCAGCTGCCATGCAGAGATTTACCTGAACCAGCTCTGTGAAGCACCTCAGCAGTCCTATGTAAGCTCTTACAGAGGCCCTTATCTTTAGACATGTAAGTAAATCCGTTAGGATCCAATTTATGGCACATGTGATGTACATGAGTTTTGTGGGAGGCAGAAAGACAACTGGAATTCTGTCTGAAAAGCACAAACATTTCCTTTTCACACTCACCTCCGTGTGGGATCAACAGCAATGGCTCTCGGCTCACTGAGGTCGCTGTTAAAAAGTGTCCTCCTCCTGCTCCCATCTGCAGTGGCCACTGAGATAGTCTTGTTTCCAGAATCCGTCCAGTAGATATTCTTATGAACCCAGTCAATCGCCAGCCCTTCCGGAGAGTTCAGCTGGCTGTCTATCAGAATCACCTGCTCCGCTGTGTCGCTGGCTTTGTCTATGTATGCACTGCAGAGACAGGATTTGTCACCGGGCTGGCATGGCACAGAGAAGGCTGTGCAGATGTGCACAGGGCTGGAGCTCAGGAAGGGCTGAGTGCTGGCAGCATCACACCAACCCCACGAGAACAAAGTGCACATGTGGCAAGGTGACTGACAAAGAAACCTTTACAGCTGTGTACTGCATCCTTCTGCTGCTTTCTCCTCTACCTTGGTCCTACCTCTGTATTTGGATGGCAGGCATTTCCAGGACAGGGAACTGTTATTTTATGTTCCTACCTGCTTCCTGCTACAACTGCACAATTTAGCACCACATCTGACTTAGGGCACATTAACTTCAGTAGTACCATTTATTGGGATTTATGGACATTGGAAATATTATTATCTTCAGTGCTCTGCTGAACAGAGTTGAATTTAGCATACAAATAAACATGCTTAAATGTGTTGCAGAATTAGGACCTGTGTAACTTTTTAATTCATCAAAGGGATTCCTGAAGCTATACTAATTTGGCAAGTGATTTCTTGTTAGATACAAAGAAAATCTTCACTTAATACCAGCCTCAGAATCTTTTAAAGACACTACTGAAAGGCAGGAGATGCTAGATGGAGGTTCCAAGAATAACCCAATATTACACCTACAAGCACAGGTGATTCTGTTATTCTGCAATCTATAGCACTATCAGAGCAATTCTAAATGGAATCAGAAATTCTGAGTTTGCATTGGTGTTTCTGGCTCTTAGAAGAATTTGGTTAAAAGCAAACAAATAAAAAACCCCACAACTTTTCCTCCCTCTGCACAGTTGAGATTAATGTCTCCTATTCAGTGTCCATCCTGCCTTTGGCCATGGAACTGTGCCTTTGCAGTAGTTTGATGCTGTTTTCTGCACTGTAGCCCAGGCTGGGATGGCTGTGCTGAGTCCACATGGATTAGCAGAGGGTGCTGCACCTCCAGAAGATGGAGGTGTTATGGGGAATGCCTTTGGTTTCTCTCTGACCCAACACTAAATGAATGGTGCCACTGGGGGTTCCGCAGAGCATGTGGCTGTGTTCACAAGCTGCTATTTTGGTCTGATGAACACCACACATTCTGACTGCAGTTCCAGCCCAGCTAATTCCTCCCTAGTGAAACAGCCATGTTCACACCTTCCAACACGGCACTGAGCCATGAATGTGACTTGATGCACTAGTGGAAAAAACAAGGAGCTCCTGGGGCTTCAGAATGAGAGGGTGGAAATACAGAAGTGACATTCTGATTCTCCCAGGAACTAAATACCTAATAAAATATCTTCTAACACCCTGATGGGGACAACATCTCAGTGGCAGAAAGAGAAGTGCAGTGAGTGTCAAGAAAGAGGGGATCTATAGCCTGCTGCTGCTACCCACAGGACTCCTGTGGTGGGTATTAGTGATATCAGCAGCATCTCCAACAGCAGCATTAATTGTTATGAAATGATGATTACACAGCCTGCTCTGCAGGAAAGATAGGATTCAAAATAAAGCTAATGTAAGCAGGACTGAGAAAGATAAAAATTCTGCTGTTCAGAAAAGTAACCAGGCTTGGTACAGTCATACATGGGGCATGAGCACTTGGGGCTCTCAGTCCCAGGGCATTAACTGTCCGCTGCAGAAGGAGCAGCGTCTTAAATAGTTCTCTATGTGCCCACCCATACCTGCAGGATTAGACATAGTGCAAGTAGCTTGCTGCTGAGCTACCTCCCCATTTCCAGGGCCATGCAGTGCTGTTCAGGATACCTGCCCAGCTACCTGAGTGCTAAATAATCAGGACAACCTGGGCAAATTTCCATGCCAGTGGCACGAAAGCTAGCACAGCCTGCAAAAACCTCAGCTTGGCTCCTATGCACTGAAACCAATCAACCTTTTTGTCTGATCATTAGCTAAAATCTAAAACAAATTGCTGCTGAAACTGCAATAGGGTGCAATAGCTATGCAAATCAGAGTATACATTGGGAATTTTCAGTGCATAAATTAAATGCGTTTTTGACTAGACACCCTCACAAGCTCCAGTACATAATAATGGTAATGAATGTACAAAAACAGCTGGAAAAAAAAAAAAAGGGAAACAAATTACAGGATATGAAATGTAGTCTGTGATCAAATGCTGTGGATTTTCATCTACTCTAGCAGAGCCGCCAGTGGTCAACCAGTATCCTTGCTTTCACCACTTGCCTCTGTGCCTTCAGATGCCAAGTCCTTTTGGTTTCATGTACATGAAGCACACAGCACAGCAGCCTCACTTGGCAGTATGATCGTTAAGTAAACGAGTCCACGTGTAATTGCACAAATGCAGTGGGATCTATTGCTCCTGAAAAGCCTTCCTGCGTTTTCAAGCCAAGTAACTGCACAAGCCCTGATTTCTTTATCAAATCCTGAAAAGCTTACAAAGTCTGGGCCACAACAGGTAATGCAGTAAGGGAAGAAAATCCCCAGGTTCACTGCATTGTTCTCTGCATATCGTCCTTACAAACTGAAGCACAGCTTTAGAAAGGTACCAAAACACACTCTTTCTCTTAGCCCTTACCTGTAGATTTTTCGGTAGAACAAATCACACCAATATATTCTGTTTGTTGCCACCTCCACATCCAGTGCCACGACATTTTTCAGCATGGGAATGATGCGAGAGTAGTCCCTTTTCACCAGGTCTATCTTACGGACCTCGTGGCGGTTGGTGAAGATGAGGTAGGGACTCTTTCCTGACACAGAAAGAAGTGCATTTGTTGTTATAGCAGCTGGCCTAAAGGCTGGATACATCATTTCCTCAAACAACAACAAAGTGAACAGCAATAAGTCACCGATCTGCTCTGTGCCAGCAGCAGGTCTAAGTGGCTTCTGGCCCAACGTAGACAGTTAACACATACAGACACAGGGCACAGCACCCTGTCACCCAGCCTCTGGAGAACGTCCCCACATTCCATTATACATTTTAGATACAAAATCCAGGGGCTCAGTTTCAGTGACTCATGTTCAGGACAAGGAAGAGAGAAAGCCTTCCAGGCTGGCTGGAGGGAAGGCAGGCAGCCAGACCAAGGCATGGCAGAGCCACACAGAATCCAGCAAAGCCAGGATCTCATTGCTAGGAGGACATTTAATTCTATTTTAGGCTGTCACATACGTGCTGACCTTGCATCACCCAACCAAGCACTCGGGCTTATATAATACATCTCACATCTCTTCTTTGTGGGCTAGAGTCTGCAGCCTGAGTGCTGGTCAAACTGTAACAGCAGTCATGTTCTCAGGCCAGCCCAGGCCACAGCCTTTCAGAAAGGCTGCAATCCCTGACATTAACGTTCATTTCTGCAATAAGCCCAAGCAAGCTGCTGGTGCTCACGTTGGTATTTGTGTATGAGGCTGGGTAGGTGGAGAGGTGATAACCTACCACGTTTTAATTGGGTTGTTTTCTTTTAACATGACTACCAGTAAATATTTTTTTCTGTGCTGTTTTTAGTGAAACCTGTCAAGAGGCTTTCTTTTCGAGTTTCAGCTTCAAACAGCCAACTAGTGATCGTAATCTTGCTCTGCACATGGTTAAAATATTCTGATCTGCACTCTCAGTAGTTCTTGCCTAGAGACACATCTGCTATCACTGCAGCAGTTCCGTGCTGCTTGAAATTAATGCCTGTGCTTGCTAGTTAACTTTTGCCTCTGTTCCCCTAGGCTCAGCCCTGCAAGTGTGTTTTCTTATCAGAGTTGTGATGTTGAGCAGTCAGAGTTTAAGAGCCTGTCGGGCTGCCTTACCTACAGCCTTGCAGTTCTTGGACAGGGTGTCCATCTCGTATCCCTCGTAGCACTCACATTTGTAGTCCCCCTTGTAATTAATGCAGATCTGGCTACAAGCGTCTGGATTCTCACATTCATCTATGTCTGAAAGGAGTGTTTGAAACCCATCAATAACTTGAAATCAAACCATCTGTGATGGAGCAGTGCTGAAGAGCATATAAGCATGTCTCTGTATGGTGACACACAGGGGACTGCTGTTTGCATGTAAATTACCTCCACACGTCTTTTTATCCAGAAGCTTGTATCCGGGCGGGCATTCACATTCGTAGCCTATCTTCAAGTCTTTGCATATGTGTGAGCAACCACCGTTGTTCACAGAGCATTCGTTAATACCTGGAAGAGGCAGACAGGTTATCTATGGGAAAGGAGGGGTTCCAGTCGTAAGTTTGAATGAAATTAAGAAAGGTCAAACGCACATTTTCCCATAGCTGCCAGCTTCTGGTAGCCAGGTGTTGGCCACATTGAGCATATGAGTGACTTCAGAGAAAGGAAGCCATCACTGTATCTCTTCCTTGCTCTTTATTATTCCAAACCAACACTGTTATGATCAGTTGGACTGAAAGCTAATGGCCAAATGAAGAGGGAGCCCTGGGGACACAGCATCTGTGCATCTCTGCATCTCATCCATCAGAAACCCACTGCTTTGAGCATACTCTGCCAGCTGTGAGGCATTTCCAAGGGACCTAAGGGTGCTCTCCAGGAGATGACGCCTTCCCCATGCACTGGTTAATGTTGACTTTTCTGAACAGTCTTTTTGAGCTTTGATAATTCATGCTATGGGAGTCTCATCTCCCAGAGGCCAGCTGTTTTGAACTACTGTACTGTTTCCCCATCCAGCACCAAGGAAGGATCTGAGTGACAATTCCAG